GGACTGGTCGGACTGGACGGACCGGGCAGACGGCCCGTTTAGCACGGACTGGTCGGACAGCGCAAACTCGTGAGCGTCTAAGGATTGACTTTTGAAAGGAGCTTCGGACGCCTCGGATGGACTGCGCAGACAGGCTCGGCACTGATCGGACGTCTTGGACGGCCGGATCGTTCGGTGTGCGGACGGGTCGGGACAGCTCGGACAGATCGGACTTGTCGGACAGCACGGACGGGTCAGCCGGTGTGGACGGACTGCTCGGAGCTTGGGCTCGGACGTCTCGGACCGCGGACGGCGCGGACGGATCAGACTGGTCGGACAGCGCGGACGGGTCGGTGCGGACGGACTGCTCGGAGCTTGGGTTTGGACGCCTCGGACGGACGGACAGCGCGGACGGCACGGACCGGTCGGACAGCGCGCACAGATCAGGCTGATCGGACAGCTTGGACGCCCCGGTCAGACAGCTTGGAGCCTCTGTCCTAAAGGCCTCCCGGCTGGACCTGGGGATCTGCGCTAGGAGCTCGTCCGTTCCTCAATGGCGAGGGCAAATGAGCGGGGTCTGTTTGTTGAGTTTTTATCGTGCCTCGGGCCGAAATCAGCACGCTGGAGACGGGCAGAAATGCTGTCAATGATGAGGGCAGATGAGTGGGGTGCGTTTGTTCCCTCACCGTTGAGGGCAAATGAGCGGGGTCTGTTTATTAAGTTTTTATCGTGAAATCAGGACGCTGGAGAGGCCGCTCATGTCACCGGTGAGGGCAAATGAGCGGGGTCCGTTTGTCGAGTTTTTTTACCGTGCCACGGGCAGAAATCAGCACCTCGGAGAGGCCCGCTCATTTGCGTCAATGATAAGGGCAAATGAGCGGGGTCCGTTTTTTTTTTCAGTTTTGCCTCAGAAATCAGCTCTCCGGAGAGGGCCGCTCATTTGCCCTCCATGGCGAGGGCAAATGAGCGGGGTCTGTTTGGTCAGCTTTTACTGTGCCACGGGCAGAAAATCAGCACGCCGGAGAGGCCCGCTCATTTGCACTCACCGGTAAAGGCAAATGAGCGGGGTTTGTTTGCTCAGTTTTTATTGCCCCCTTGGCAGAAATCAGCACTCGCGTATTTGCCTTCACTGGTGAGGGCAAATGAGCGGGGTCTGTTTGTTGAGTTTTTTTTACCGTGCCACGGGCAGAAATCAGCACCTCGGAGAGGCCCGCTCATTTGCGTCAATGGTGAGGGCTAATGGGCGGGGTCCCTTTGTTCAGTTTTTACCGTGCCTCGGGCAGAAATAAGTTCCCCGAGGCCCGCTCATTTACTTTCACCGGTGAGGGCAAATGAGCGGGGTGCGTTCGTGCAGTTTTTACCGCGCCTCGGGCAGAAAGCAGCTCTCCGGAGAGGGCCGCTCATTTGCCCTCAATGGCAAGGGCAAATGAGCAGGGTCCGTTTGGTTAGCTTTTACTGTGCCATGGGCAGAAAATCAGCACGCCGGAGAGGCCCGCTCATTGGCTCTCACCGCTGAGGGCAAATGAGCGGGGTCTGTTCATTAAGTTTATATCGTGAAATCAGGACGCTGGAGAGGCCGCTCATGTGCTGTCACCGGTGAGGGCAAATGAGCGGGGTCCGCTTGTTGAGTTTGTCACCGTGCCACGGGCAAAAATCAGCACCTCGGAGAGGCCCGCGCATTTGCGTGAATGATGGGGGCAAACGAGCGGGGTGCGCTTTTTTTCAGTTTTGCCTCAGAAATCAGCTCTCCGGAGACGGCCGCTCATTTCCTCTCAATGGCGAGGGCAAATGAGCGGGATCCGTTTGGTCAGCTTTTACTGTGCCACGGGCAGAAAATCAGCACGCCGGAGAGGCCCGCTCATTTGCCCTCATATGTGAGGGCAAATGAGCGGGGTTTGCTCAGTTTTTCTCGTGCCCTGGGCAGAAATCAGCACCCCGGAGAGGCCCGCTTATTTGCCGTCACCGGTGAGGGCAAATGAGCGGGGTCTGTTTGTTGAGTGTTTTTTTACCGTGCCACGGGCAGAAATCAGCACCTCGGAGAGGCCTGCTCATTTGCGCCAATGGTGAGGGCAAATGAGCGGGGTGCGTGTTCTCAGTTTTGACTGTGCCTCAGAAATCAGTTTTTCGGAGAGGGCTGCTCATTTGCTTCAATGGTTCTCCGCAGGGTCCGCTTATTTGTTTTCACCGGTGAGGGCAAATGAGCGGGGTCCGTTTGTTCAGTTTTTTTACCGTGCCTCGGGCAAAAATAAGTTCCCCGCAGAGGCCCGCTCATTTACCCTCACCGGTGAGGGCAAATGAGCGGGGTGCGTTGGAACCATTGAGGGCAAATGAGCGGCCCTCTTCGTTTGAGCTGATTTCCGAGGCACGGTCAAAACTGAACACACGCACCCCGCTCATTTGCCCTCACCATTGACGCAAATGAGCGGGCCGCTCCGAGGTGCTGATTTCTGCCCGTGGCACGGTAAAAAAAACTCAACAAACAGACCCCGCTCATTTGCCCTCGCCTTTGAGGGGAAATAAGCGGGCCTTTCTGGGGTGCTAATTTCTGCCCAGGGCACAAAAAAACTGAGCAAACAGAACCCGCTCATTTGCCCTCACCGGTGAGGGCAAATGAGCGGGCCTCTCCGGCGTGCTACTTGGCTGCCCGTGGCATAGTAAAAGCTGACCAAACAGACCCCGCTCATTTGCCCTCGCCATTGAGGGGAAATGAGCGGCCATCTGCGGAGAGCTGAGGCAAAACTGAAAAACACACGCACCCCGCTCATTTGCCCTCACCATTGACGCAAATGAGCGGGCCTCTCCGAGGTGCTGATTTCTGCCCGTGGCACGGTAAAAAAAACTCAACAAACAGACCCCGCTCATTTGCCCTCGCCTTTGAGGGGAAATGAGCGGCCATCTCCGGAGAGCTGATTTCTGAGGCAAAACTGAAAAAAACGCACCCCGCTCATTTGCCCTCATCATTCACGCAAATGCGCGGGCCTCTCCGAGGTGCCATTGAGGGGAAATGAGCGGCCATCTCCGGAGAGCTGATTTCTGAGGCAAAACTGAAAAACACAGGCACCCCGCTCATTTGCCCTCACCATTGACGCAAATGAGCGGGCCGCTCCGAGGTGCTGATTTCTGCCCGTGGCACGGTAAAAAAAACTCAACAAACAGACCCCGCTCATTTGCCCTCACCGGTGACGGCAAATAAGCGGGCCTCTCCGGGGTGCTGATTTCTGCTCAGGGCACGATAAAAACTGAGCAAACAGACCCCGCTCATTTGCCCCACATATGAGGGCAAATGAGCGGGCCTCTCCGGCGTGCTACTTGGCTAATAGACGTCGGGCGGGGGGGGGTTAGGGGGGGGGTTATCCTCTATCCTCTGGTAAGTATCCGACACGCCGAGCAATGTCGGCGGATTCACCCCTTGGTTGCATATGGGTGCTTTAGGGAAACCAAAGGGAAACCGAACATTTTGGTGGACCTTTTTGGGCGCTTTTGAATAAAACAAGCTTTTGGCTGCCGTTCTGAGACTAGCTTCTGGTGATGTTAACAGACGCATGAGGAGGTTCTGAGGTTTGGTTCCCTAGGTGTCGGGGTGGACACATACTTCGTGCTTTTTGCAGCCGCAGCTTTGGGCACTTTGTCTCGTGCCTGCCAACTGCGGGCGGAGTGTTCATCAGGATTCTCCTTCGACTCTGACTCCCAGGTTTGGAGACAGCTCTGGCAGGTCTATTGGGTATCAATCACCCGGATTTGCGTTGTTGTTTTTTTGTGACATGGGCTTATTTGAAGGTCTTGATTTTAGAACTGGGGGGTCCTTTCATTCAGGTTCTTGGTTTTGGGTGTCTTTTGCTGTAGGATTCAGGATTCTTAGCGGGCCCAACGCAGACAAGATCACCTCCCCAGCGCCTTCCTGGACAAACAAAAAGACACGGAGCCTGGGGAAGAAAAACAAGGAGGGCCCCATATGGGCGGCGTGTCTTTTTGGGAAGCTACGCTTTTCGTGGCTCTGAAACTCACAGGAAACCCGAGGCCCTAAAAAAAGACAAAACACATCTACCTGGAGTCTCCATGACCCTGTAAAAATTGGGTCATTACTAATTACCCAAAATAAAGGGGTCATGGGCCCATTTTTAAAGGGTCAGAAGGAGACTCCAGGTGGACTCCATGACCTTGTTTTGGGGGGGCAGGGGGTGTCCTGGTGTTGGGGGTCCCTGACTTTAGAACTCTCAGTGGGCTTCCCACTTTGTGAATACATGGAGTCTCCATGACCCTTTAAGAATGGTTGGTCATTACCCAAAATATAGGGGTCATGGACCCATTTTTTAAGGGTCCTTAGGTATTTGTAAATTGCCCTTTTTGGATCTTTCTGCGGGTTCGTGTGGGCGCCCCTCATGCCTGGCCGCTGGTGTGCCCCCAAAATCTGACGACCTGGTGGTTATTTCTTGTGGTTTCCTTTAAGGGGACGCCGGAGTTCATTCCCAAAACCCGCAAGGCGATTCCTTACCGACCAGCAAGAAATGGTTTGGTCTACCTTTTGCTTCTCAAAGCAAAAGAAGCAACCATTGGAATTCAATGATTAACCCATCCCACTTATGAAGTGCCAAGAGTGCCGGGGCAACCCAGCCCAGTTGGGTTTTTGCCTTGTTGTTGAGGGTATACTTATCCTTGTTGGGGTTTGCAAAAAAGGGGAAGTTCAAGAAGGAGCCCGAAGCTCATTTTGGGGTATCGATTCCTTGAGACCAACCCAGTTTGCAGCTTGCTTCAATTTGCTGAAATGAATGTGTAAAAAAAATATCCGCCGGTGGTGTTAAAGGGGAATCGATTTCACTGGACATATTTTCTCGTTTTTCCAGGGGACTTCTCAGCAAATGGAGCAGGGATCCGGATGGATTATACACCTGAACATTGCAACTTGTAAATGGAGGTGTCCAACTCTATTTTTGGTGTTGAAAAAGCAACATGGTTCAAGTGGTGGCAAAATGGAGATCTTTTAAGGAGCCCTGTGGAGATGCTGGGCTTATTCGCCTCTCCAGGCCGAAGAAGGGCGAAGCCGCTTCCTGGCACTGGCGGAGGCGGTGCAGAGCGCCGTGCCGGAGGCCGTCACCATGGCCCAGGAGCGTGGCGAGAACCCGAGTCGGGGGGAGGAGCGTGCCGCCTGAGAAGGGGTCGGTTGGTTTTACCAGGAGTCTCCCTAAGGACCGAAGGACCCTTTGAAAATGGTGGGTCATTCATTACCCAACATGTAGTATGAGCCCTTTTTCTAGTCATGGAGACTCTAGGTACAAGGGAAACCAACAGGAAAGCCGCCATTTTTTGAGGGGTCGCCATGGTCACGTGTACCAGACAGCCCCAGAGGGTCTCATCCAGGTGGTGCGTCGGTTTCGGGTGGGCGGTTGATTTATCAGGCTTGACCCCTTAGGGTTCCCACTGGTGCCGATCGTCAAACTTTGTCCATCCACAGTTGTGGCAGTTCTTCTCTACGTTTCTTGGCGGTTCGGGACCAGCCGTCCCCTTGCACTTTAAGGTGTTTAGGGTGTAGTAGGGGGGGTCCATTTGACCCACGAATGTTACCACAAAAAAGCATGGGACTCAGGACTCGCCCCTTTTTTTTGAGGCCCTTGGATCATAGGTATTTTGATCATGGCTAGGAGCAACCATGTATGTTCGCCATTTTGAGGACCCCTGAGGAAGCCCTTTTTGGGCTAGGCTTCAGGTTCCGGATTATCCACCACCAGTTTTACGGCGGATTCGTTAGAATTCACAACTTCTAAAGTGATGCCCCCGCCCGCTCCTCCCGCTCCCCCCCGGGCAGACGTTTCCTTATCACTCAACCCAGGTTTGCTGCTTGGCTGCGCTACTGCCTTTCCGTAAAATCCTGGCGGGTGGTCCTTTCGAGAGCGAAATATGTGGCCCAAGTTTGCCCCGAAAGTTGGCCCTGAAAGTTGGCCCCGAAAGTTGGCCGATTTCCTCTTGGAGGTTCCGCTTAAAGTTCCCGCAAAAAAAAGGAATTGATTTCTAGTTGGAGCACCCTCAAAAGCACCCAATGTACGGTTCCCGACAGCAGTAAGCGAAATCACTGGGTATGATTGCTTGCAACCATCCTAAGCAAGTAGGCTATGAACCTAGGTAGATCTTATCACCTACTAAGTGCCCGACCACCCAAGCAGTGGTGTTGCACACGAGTGTGTCGTTTTTGAGTGTAACCTTGCACATGCTTGAAGAACCAACACGAATCCAAACGAAAGTCACGGGGAAACCACAACCATATGTTCGAGCTCTACCCTCCCCGTTCTCTTCAGGGATCCTGTTCTTCCAAAAACAAACCAAACCCTGGAAGATAGGTGGTGTCGAAAGAGAACGGTGGGTGAAGAGAATGGGGACGCAAGCCCTACCTGGAGTCTCCATGACCCTTTGAAAATGGGTCCATGACCCCTTTATTTTGGGTAATCACCAACCATTTTAAAAGGGTCCTTAGGGAGACTCCAGGTAGAGATCAACCCAACAATAAGGGTTCCCCTAAACACGGTTGGTCCGAAAGTAGACAGCCCCAAACACGAGTGGTTTCCTGTTGATCTCCCTTCAAGCATGGTTTCTTCCAGGTATTCACAAAGTGGGAAGCCCACTGAGAGTTCTAAAGTCAGGGACCCCCAACACCAGGACACCCCCTGCCCCCCCAAAACAAGGTCATGGAGTCCACCTGGAGTCTCCTTCTGATCCTTTAAAAATGGGCCCATGACCCCTTTATTTTGGGTAATTGGTAATGACCCAATTTTTACAGGGTCATGGAGACTCCAGGTAGATGTGCTTTGTCTTTTTTTAGGGCCTCGGGTTTCCTGTGAGTTTCCGAACCACGAAAAGCGTAGCTTCCAAAAAAGACACGCCGCCCATATGGGGCCCTCCTTGTTTTTCTTCCCCAGGCTCCGTGTCTTTTTGTTTGTCCAGGAAGGCGCTGGGGAGGTGATCTTGTCCGCGTTGGGCCCCGGCTCCCACGTGGCGCGGCACTGCGGAAGGGTCTGGGCCCCGAAGAGCTTCCCTGATTCGAGGGTGACACCCCAAACCACGAACTCCAAGGGAAGATTGGATACATGTCTTGGTCCCAGCCATCCGGTTCCTGAGCTTTTTAGCAGGGGATCCGAGGGCAGCCCATATATATATATATATATATCATGTAATTAGAAGTATGTACTACAACGTACAGACATGTAAGGGTATTTGGGTCTCTATATCTTAGGGTGGACTAAATATGGAACAGATGGAACATAGTCCGAACATATGGCTTCGTGTTCCGCCAGAAGTGGGCCCAGGTATTTGTGTGTGGTCCTCTGTTTGTCAACTATTCGCTTAACGGTTTGCGGGCAAACAGGTTGGGTAAGGAGCTTTTCATGCCAGGGCTCTCACTTCAGCTTTGCGGATTTGTTTTTGCATTGTAAAATGTGCCACTATGCCGTTATACCATCAAATTCCCAATCCTGGCGCTCCTCGGTCCCAAATAAAGTAGGAGTTAATTCCGGGGATGTCCGTCTAGTTTGCAGAGGGTGGTCTCCCCTGCTATCTGTAATCAGTCGTGACTCTTCCAGCACAGAGGGTCAAAGGGAGCCACTTCTATACGATTGTTGCCTTTGGACTCAGGTTGCGTTTCCGCGGGTTGGTTGGGTCGCTCCCAGCCTTATGACAAACTCTCAAGAAGGGGGAAATGGGTGAGGCTTCTTTTTTTGCTATAGAACGTGATATGGGTACCCCCCCCCTCACAAAGAACAGCTAGCTAGCAAAAAGTGAGTGTTGTGTTGTTTCCCTTTTCAACCAGCCCAAAAAGGGTACCATCACAGGGTTCCACGATCACTCCAAGCTGGACATAAACTCAAAGCTCTGGGGTGAAGTGAGCCACCTGGCTGCGCTTGATAAAAGTCATTGGAAATCGGTGCGTCGCACGAATGAATATGGTGACCATTTTTTTATACGCATGCTTCCCTGATCACGGCAAGACTCATGTTAAACTACCCCACAACCCGATCATATTTATTCCTTTGCACATCAACGTGGGACCCAAGCAGGGTGTCCCCCACAAGGAGATGGATTGACTTGGGTTCTGCTGTATGCCAATCTGCGGGAGTGTGTACGGGAACATGGATGGACATGGACCACTCAGTTGATTCTGATTGCGCCAACCAACATGATGCTTCCGATGAATAGACAAGTATACAGGAGAATCAAATTCTTTTGGATGGATGGATCTGACCTTGGATCCGCCGATAGTTTCTAGTTTAAGATTCACGGAATACTGTATGACACGGGATCTGAACATGTAACTTTTGTGTGTGCCCTCGTGTTGGGGCAAGCGATGAGGCAACCAACATGAGACTTCAAATGACTAGACCGTCTCCTCGAATGCCGAAGAATCCCCAAAGTTCCTGGGTAAAGGGCATCCAAACAGTTCTTTGTATTAAAACAATTCTTAAAACCGCAAAATCAAGAAAGAGGTTTGCAATATGTCTCTATGTTGAATGTAGATCTACTTGCTGCTTCTTATTTTTTTCCAGAGGGAGCCTTTTGGAGCTAATGGGAGTTCTCAGAAGAGGGCATGGTAGTCATTCCATTTCTCATTCCGGCCTGGAGCGCTTTCGGTTCCGAAGCCTTAGGCCAACCATCGGCTGACGGCCCATTTAGGGCTTTGCATTCCGCAAGGCGGGATCGAGATAGTCGAGCCGAGTTGCAAAGACGAGGGGGCGCCTCACGTCCAAAGAAATGTGGTTGATTGTTTCTTGTTTTTCCTGTATCGAACGAAAATGAAGAAGCTGTTGCCTAAAGCAATTTGGCTTGAAGCGACAACTTTTACTACGTTGGAAAGCCGATGTCGATGGCATCCCTCTAAAGGTGATCAATATTGATGGTTTTGTTGCAAGCGAGAGCACTACAAAGCATCCACCGGCTTGCAACTCAGCACGCCGGTTTGCGAACAGCAGCTTTAGGCAACTTGCTCCTTTGTCAGCTTCTTTTGTGGCTTCCAGCTTTACGTGTGTCAACTTTGAGTTTGCTCCGGAGTGTGGGGAAACCTGGCGGTTTCCAAAAGTCAGCTGGGGTTCTTGCATCCACCGCTTTGGCGTTGAGAGTGGAACAGAAACATGGGGCCAGCGCAAAGGCAAAGGGCGCGCAACATGTCACTGCCAACGTGTGACATGCGACATTCTGAATAGCGACCATAGGGCTCCGATAGGGTGTCTTACAGCATACGGTTGACCCATTTGGACAATCACTTTCTAACGACTTGTAGGTTCCAGAGCAGTGTTTCCGCAGGTGGCTTTTTGGAGGTGCTGTATCCATAGGAAGGTACCCCCGATAGAAGGGGAGGGTGAATTGGTTCCCAGCCATCCCTTTCGGGTTTAGGCTTTTCGGTTTGGTGGTAGTTTCTACCAAAGCCACTAAAAGATACACTTTGAGCAGGGGATCTGGGAACAGCCGCTAGTGGGATTCCACACCCCTTTTTGAAGACAGTTCCCATTTTTTCGAGATTCCCAGTAGTTCCATTTCCCGTATTGGAACCAAAGGAACACACATTTGAATCCCACAAGCTTTGGAGGCACATGGGTGTGGCTCATTTTTTTCCACGACGGGAGGGGCAAACCGCGGGTTTTGGTCGTTTGCACTTCCCAGACCCAGGCCATTTTGGAATTCCAGTTTTTGAGCCACAGCCATTTAGCTTCCTTCTCAAAATGTCCTTTCCAGCTGGCCAGCCCGAGATCACTTTCCTCATGGGCAAAAACAAGGCGAAGCCGTCTGAGTTGAATTCGCCACAGCCACATGGGCCAGGATGGCCGAGCGGCCTGCCTTGAGATCTCGGCTCGGCTTTGGGAGGCTTCCAGAAGCAACCTCTGCCAAAAGAGTCAGCGGGCACCCCGTTTTAAAAGCAGGGCTCCTTAAAAGATCTCCATTTTGCAAACCATTTGAACCATGTTGCTTTTTCCAGCAAAATAAAGGGAACCTCCATTTGCAAGTTGCAATGTTCAGGTGTACAATGTAAGGATCCCTGTTCAAAGGGTCATGGACAGGTTCACAGGTGAAATGAAGAAACCGAGAGGGCAACTCCACTTTCGTCCGGGCATGTAGGATTATGAGAGGTGCGCATTTGTCAAATCTCAGTTTTGGCCTCTTCGGAGCCAGCGACTTGGGTGAACTGTGACTCAAGCCAGCACCCCCACATCTCGAGCAAAGTGCCGGAACCTGCACAGCTGACAAGCTGCAATGCCGCGAAAACGTTTTAAAAAGCAGTTGGCAGCCAAGAAGTCCGTGGCAAGAGACATTACGGTACATTGTGCGCCATCTGGGAAAACGGAATCATTCGAATTGGCGCCAGACATCACTGTCGGCAAGTTCAAAAGGCAGCTGCACGGGTGGCTGCCTTGTGGAGATGAATCGTTGCGCAACATGAGCTCGGTGGAGGTAATTGTTGGAGACAGGCCCTTGTTGAACGATGAGGAGCAGGTGTCAGAGGCCATTCCAGGTACAGAAGTTATGGCTTTACTCAGCATCAAGCCGGTGACGTGCTGCAGCTTTTCCACGTCTGGCTGCAAGGTGAAAGATTTGCTGGTGGTGGAAATTCCTGTAGGCGTCATTGAGATTGAGGAGGCTGCCTTCTTTTGCTGTAGCTCATTGGCAAGCGTAGCCATCTCCCATTCCGTCACCGTTGTTGGAGAAAGTGCCTTTGATGCTTGCGGCTCACTGGCAAGTGTTACTATCCCCGACTCCGTGACTGTGATTGGAACTTGTGCCTTCCGAAGTTGCAGCTCATTGCAAAGCATGGCCATCCCCAACTCCGTCACTCACATTGGACGTGGTGCCTTCCAAGGTTGCAGCTCATTGGCAAACGCGACCATTCCCGACTCCGTTGATGAAATTGGAGAAGCTGCCTTTGAAGGTTGCTGCTCGTTGGCAAGCGTGGGCATCCCCAACTCCGTTACAGAGATTGGACGTGGTGCCTTCAAAGGTTGCAGCTCATTGGCAAGCGTGGTCATCCCGAACTCCGTTACTAAGATTCGAGGATATTCCTTCGCAAGTTGCAGCTCTCTGGCAAACGCGACCATTCCCGACTCCGTTAATGAAATTGGAGAAGCTGCCTTTCAAGATTGCAGCTCATTGGCAAATGCGACCATTCCCGACTCCGTTGCTAAGATTGGACGTGGTGCCTTCCAAGGTTGCAGCTCATTGGCAAACGCGATCATTCCCGACTCCGTTGATGAAATTGGAGAAGCTGCCTTTGAAGGTTGCTGCTCGTTGGCAAGCGTGGGCATCCCCAACTCCGTTACAGAGATTGGACGTGGTGCCTTCAAAGGTTGCAGCTCATTGGCAAGCTTGGTCATCCCGAACTCCGTTACTAAGATTCGAGGATATTCCTTCACAAGTTGCAGCTCACTGGTAAACGCGACCATTCCCGACTCCGTTAATGAAATTGGAGAAGCTGCCTTTCAAGATTGCAGCTCATTGGCAAATGCGACCATTCCCGACTCCGTTGCTAAGATTGGACGTGGTGCCTTCCAAGGTTGCAGCTCATTGGCAAACGCGATCATTCCCGACTCCGTTGATGAAATTGGAGAAGCTGCCTTTGAAGGTTGCTGCTCGTTGGCAAGCGTGGGCATCCCCAACTCCGTTACAGAGATTGGACGTGGTGCCTTCAAAGGTTGCAGCTCATTGGCAAGCTTGGTCATCCCGAACTCCGTTACTAAGATTCGAGGATATTCCTTCGCAAGTTGCAGCTCACTGGTAAACGCGACCATTCCCGACTCCGTTAATGAAATTGGAGAAGCTGCCTTTCAAGATTGCAGCTCATTGGCAAATGCGACCATTCCCGACTCCGTTGCTAAGATTGGAGAAGGTGCTTTCAAAGGTTGCAGCTCATTGGTAAGCGTGGCCATCCCCAACTCCGTCACTCAGATTGGACGTGGTGCGTTCAAAGGTTGCAGCTCATTGGCAAACGCGATCATTCCCGACTCCGTTGATGAAATTGGAGAAGCTGCCTTTGAAGGTTGCTGCTCGTTGGCAAGCGTGGGCATCCCCAACTCCGTTTCTGAGATTGGACGTGGTGCCTTCAAAGGTTGCAGCTCATTGGCAAGCGTGGGCATCCCCAACTCCGTTACAAAGATTCGAGGATATTCCTTCGCAGGCTGCAGCTCATTGGTACACGTGGCCATCCCTGATTCCGTCACTCGGATTGGACGTCATGCCTTTCAAGATTGCTGCTCATTGGTAAACGCAACCATCCCTGCCTCCGTCACTGAGATTGGATAAGGTGCTTTCAAAGGTTGCAGCTCATTGGCAAGCGTGGGCATCCCCACCTTCATTACCAAGACTCGAGCAGATGCCTTTCGCGGTTGCAGCTCATTGGCAAGCATTGACATCCCTGACTCCGTGACTGTGAAAGAGGTTGGCGCCTTTTACCGTTGCAGCTCATTGGCAAGCGTTGTAGTCCCTAATCCGTGACCGTGATAGAATCTAACGTGTTGCAGCTCATTGGTCATCCAGGACTCCGTCGCTTGTGCCTTTGCAGGTTGCATCTTATTGGCAAGCGTTGCCATGCCCGACTCTGTCACCACGATTGCATATGATGCCTTTGCAGACTGTAGCCTATTGCCAGCGTGAATACATTGCCCAGTGGATTGCTTTATTTAGCAGGCATGACTTGGAATGCTTCGCTGAGGGGGCAGAGACATCACAACTGCCACTCAAAATATGTCATGGTTTCACCAGAACGCCCACGTGCTCCAGTGGTCAAAACATCAAACAACGACTTGCTTGACTGCTACGTGGTTGGATCTTTAGACTTTAACTTTTTGGGAAATCAAGGGGGTTTCCACAAAACCCCCAAAAAGTTAAACTTTTTGCAGGCGGGGGTCAACAGCAACCAAGTTTGTTTGGATCAGGTAAGTTATCAGAGCCCATTGGCATCGAGCAAATCAAAATGTATTTAATTACAGGAATCGCAGTAGATAACCAACCTACCATACTTTCAACGCTAAACAAGATTGGGCTGGTTGCCGACGATAGTGGTTACTGGCATTCGTAGGGTATGGAGTTTGGACAAATGATGTCGCGACCTCACATCGGGTTTTAGTTTGCGATTTCTTTTGGTGAAATATAATTCATCCACAAAAGAGGCATAGACCCCTGTCCCCCAAGAAGAATCAAGCTAGCAAAGAAAAGGGGTAAACCCCTTTCCCAAAAAAACAAAACAAACATCACCCTTAATTAGGAGGTACCAAAAGATATTGTTCCTCTAACGCCAATCTTCTCCATTCTAAAACCTTTGCGGCAGGACTGTCCTTGCAGAATTCAACAAGCAAAACCGGGAGAGTCTCCATCGCGAACTTGCGGGTGCTTGGGCAACTGGATTCGGGTTTCTTTTCACCAAAATAGAGAGACACAAAGTGGTGGCGTTGCTGTTGGTTGGTTTTAAGGGCAAACCAAAAAGGGTTCCCCCCAACAAAATGAATACCCACTTATTTTGTGAGTTTGTTTCTTAGATACTGGAGTTTTGGGGTACCAAAAGCTCACCAGCCGATATGGGTGTGCCTCAATTGGGATTCGCTTAAGCCTCTACTTACCTGGAGTCTCCCCTTCTGACCCTTCAAAAATGGTTGGTCATTACCCAAAATTATTTGGGGTTAAGTCTCCACGACCCTTCAACAATGGGGGCATTACCCAAAATTATTTGGGGTTGTCACCCCTTTTTTTCTAGTCATGCAGACTCGAGGTAGATCAAATCAATTGAATGCGACCCGTGGTGGATCCAAGGTCCCGGTCTCGTAGGTCAGGCGCGTTCTTGTCTAGTTGCGTTAGCTATACGGCTTTGACACCCTTGGTATCTTCCTCAGAATTAGCTCACCTTTTTCCTTTTTTGCTTTTTCGGGGTCCCCTTTGTTTTCCACTGACCAGGCAAAAATTATATTGTTTGCTGGGGTCCTAATTCCAACCCATGGTATGGCAACAAACTTTGTTTGTTGCAGCCCGCGAAAACTGAACAGAACCAAAATAATCAAACTTGAACCATGCCAGTCAAATCTTTGTCGGGGCCACCCAACAAACATGAATAGCTTCCATTTGATTAAGAATATTATTTATTTTCCCATGTTGGTTTTAAAGGGAACCTATCACTACTGGATATATATATATATATATATATATTATTTGCTTTTTTTTTCCCAGGGGGCTTAAGCAAATGGAGGGCAGAAAAGGCTCAAAACACTTGACACCTGCCTTGACACCCGTGACGGGCTGGACTTCCCGAGTGTTTTTGGGCCAGCGAAGAAAAAGATCGCGAGGCTGCGGCATTCAGGTGGGCGGCGAGTGGCGATGCGGCCGCCTGAGTGACCAAGATGCACCTGTGTTTTTTTTTGGGCTCCATTCGGGTGAGCAGCTTACGGTCATACTGCTTGGTGGCGAAATCCAGAAACGCACCAAAGAAACCCTGGTTTCTGAATATTCCCCTGTGAGTACCAACAAACGTTATGGTTTCCCGTGGTGCGAACGGCTTTCGTCCATCCACAGCAGCTGGGGTAACTAGTAGATGGGTTCTTCTGGTTTAGACTGGCTTTATGCCATCCATTTTCCAACCCACCTAGAGTCTCCTTCTGACCAGTAGAAAAATGGTTGGTCATTACCCCAACTACTTTTGGGTAATGGCCAAGCATGGTTAAGGCTTGGAGATTCCAGGCATGGGATTTTTGGTCAGGTGTAGGGTCGCCCTCGCCGCCTATGGGCAGACCCAGCGGCCCAGCCCGAGGCTGGCAGGAGGACAAGATCTTGATCTTCGACGACTCCTTTGAGCACGAGGCTCCTGGCGTTTAGTTTGTATTTTCATTCGCAAGTCCGGGCTCCCTGTTTTCGGTTTTGGGCTTGGGGTTGAGAGTTATACTACAAAAAAGGGGTACCTGGAGTCTCCCCTTCTGACCCTTCAAAAATGGTTGGTCATTACCCAAAATTATTTGGGGTTCTGGCCCCATCTTTTCCAGGGGTCAGAAGGAGACTCTAGGTGTGTGTTTGTTTTTTGCATTTCGGAGGTCCGGGCTCCTGAAAGGATACAGTGAAATGACTTGCCTGGAGTCTCCTTCTGACCCTTAAAAAAGGGGTCCGTGACCCCTTGATTTTGGGTAATGGCCAACCATTTTTCAAGGGTCCTTAGGGAGACTCCAGATACCCAACCAGCTGATTTGGAGGATGCCCCTGAAGACTGATTTGAAGGAACCCTCTTAGACAGAGTGGCCGGGCGTGTTTTTGGTTGGGTGCACCCTTTTTGTGGTTGTCAATAGTCAAGGGATGTCAAGCGCAGTCAAATCAAAACAAACCGTTTGTTGGGGTCCGTAAGTTTTGACAACCCCAGCAAGCAACTCATCAACTTTGCCAGAATTAGTTCCCCCTGTATGTTTGTTTGCTTTTTTGAGGTCCCCTTTATTTTCCACTAACCAGGCAAAAAGTATAGTTTTGCTGGGGTCCGAATTCCAGCCAAGTCAATAGGTCTTCCTGACGAAGGGGGTCAGAAGGCAGACTTGAGTTCCAAGCACGCTTGTCCTTTCAAGACTGAACGAGCTTCACCTCAAAGTGCGAAATTCCTTTTGGAGTAGTCCAGTCCCAAAAGATGCGGCAAGCAGGGTCAATACCAATGGGCTTCAACTGAGCTCAGTTTAAAGGTCCTGGAGTCTCCATGACCGTTTAAGAATGGTTGGTCATTACCCAAAATAAAGGGGTGATGGACCAATTTTTGAAGGGTCATGGAGACTCCAGGGGGGCATGAGATGGAGCAAGTGGCAGAGCTGTTCAATCGGATGAACCAATGACACTGACAACTGCGCATCAATCCCTGCGGCTGGAAATTCCATGGAGCAAGCCGTGCGAATCGCAGGCTGGTTCATGCCAGTCAAAGCATGACTCGTGGTGAGAGGCTAAGGAAGTCTTCCAGTGCAGGGCTCCGACGTTTCGGCCGAAATTGCGCAAAGGAACAGCGAGTTCCAAAAAAAGCGCCGGAACCCAACTTGGTTCCTTGGAGCTGGGGAATCGAAGTCAGGGAAGGCCAAGCTGAACCAAACAAGTTGCACGGCTGAGTTTGAAACCGAGCCAAGGCTGGGCAGAGAGTTCGGCCGTGGCCCCCCTTTTTTTGGGCTTAGGGTTGAGGCTTGTACTACCAAAAAGGGGTACCCACTGCAGACAGAACATCGTTGCACGGTTGTGCCTCTTTCCCGAGTGTCGCCTTTTTGTTCGAGATATCTGCAATACAGGAGCCGGAATGTCGGAGCTTGGTTTACCAGCCATCGAGAATGACGCATTTTGAAGTGGATGGAATTCTCCGCTTTTAACCCCTACCTGGAGTTTCGAGTCTCCATGACCCCTAGAAAAAGGGGTTCATGACCTTACGGTTGGGTAATGACTCCAACCATTTTTAAGGGGTCATGGAGACTCCAGGCGAGCATTGAAAACTGTCAAAATGGGGGAACCCTCAAAGTGGTTTCCCTCTCATCCCCCTTTTTAAACCCAAAAAGGCCACCCTCAAGAGACGGCACAGCCACCCTCCAGACACCCCGCAGGTGCAGAACAACAGCAACTCCACCCGAGTGGTTCTGTCCGGCGCTGAGTTGGAGCTTTCAGGAAAGGTTTGGCCGTGGGTGGCTCGGTTTTTTTTTTTGGAGTTGGTACCCCATGTGGGTCTTCAATTTGGTTAAGAAATGTTCGATTTTCCCCTGGTGGTTTTAAAGGGAATGTATCACTACTGGATTTGTTTTAAGCTATTCCAGGGGACTTAAGCAAATGGAGGATTTTGGTGGTCCCAAAGGGAAGCCAAAAGGAAAACCGAAGCTATGTTGGGGGATCCTCTAAAAACAAGCGATCCACCCATGTTTTGAGTTTGTGTTCTTTCCCAGGGGGGGGGGGGCTGGGGAGTTCCCTTCAAACGTCAACCAACAGGGAAAACATCTACCTGGAGTCTCCATGACCCCGTAAAAAGAAATCCATGACCCCTGTATTTTGGGTTATGACCCCATTTTTAACGGGTCATGGAGACTCCAGGTAGACAGTTTGGTCTGTCCTAGGCTTTCGAGCAGGGCTTTCGGGGCCCGGGTGAGGTTGATCCGCTTCTGGCATCCAGCTCTGAACCCGCCGGAGCGGCGGAAGGCAGCCCTCGAGCACATCCAGGCGAGAGCGCGAGAGCGCGAGAGCGCGAGAGCGCGAGAGCGCGAGAGCGCGAGAGCGCGAGAGCGCGAGAGCGCGAGCAGTAGGTTGGCTGCCTGTTGCTGTGGCGGTTTTTGGTAGCTCCTTTTTTTTGGGGGGGGTGTTCTCAGGTTTCCCTTTGACACCAACCAAAAACAGGTACCCTCAAATAAAAAGACACAGGCGCATCTTTTGGCGTCTCGTTTGGTTTCCAAGCTAGTTACTTTTGGGAGGCGCATCTCATATAGACCACGATTTGGGAAACGGCCCATCCCAATTAGCGACCTTGGGGGTTTTTCCAAGGCCGACGGGGTTGCTTTTGGAATCCTTTTTGAGGGACGTTCCCGCAAGTAGGTCCTAACCATGGGTAGAAGGAATCATATAGCTCCACTTTTCTCACCACGTTCCCTCACGTGGCTTGAACATCGAACCAGAGTTCTCCACTTGCCAGTGTTGTAGGTAGCGAGCCACTTTCCTTAGGTATCCCTCAAGGAAAGTAAAAGGGGATTGGTCCTAAGCACACAAACTCATTCGAGCCAGAATCAAAACCCAGGAAGATGAAGGTTAGTAAGGGACACGCCCAACCAGAATTAGCTGCGGCCGCCTTCTTAATTCTTTACAGGGTTCTGGGGATCAACCATCTTAATACCTGGAGTCTCCATGACCCTCAAAAACTGGTCATTACCCAAGTCAAAGGGGTCATGGACCCATTTTCACAGGGTCAGAAGGAGACTCCAGGTCTCGGGTTCTCATTGTGACTCATTTGTTTCCGGTTGGACCGCAGAGTTCCAGCCGGGTCCACCCGCGCAGCCCATCGACCACCCGACCGCGAGCCGCGACCGCCCGAGGCGGAGCTCGCCTACACGCAGCGGCTGCAGACGCTGCCGCCCCTGGCGCCGGACTACGCAGAGCCCACGCGCGCGCTGGAGGACTGGAGGGTGGCCTTCTTGGGCTGAAGGTGAACCCCGGAGTAAGCAGAGAATTCTGGTTGATTTTGATGGGGGCGGTGTCCCCTTTTTTCGTGGTTGGATTCAGACCACTTTTGGAGGGAACACCCCCCTAATAATGGGACGGGTTTATTAATCCTGGGCCAACATTAAAAAGGGGGATGAGAGGAAAGCCACTTTGAGGGTTCCCGTATGTTGACAGTTGTCAATACTGCCTGGAGTCTCCATGATACTTGGTCCGGAAATGTGGGATTCCTATTTCGAAAAAAGAAGGTCCAGAAAAGTGCAAGGTCCAGAAAACAAGAAGTGTACTCCTAAAAGTGTAACGTCCAGAAACAGGGGACGTGAATTACCGGTACATCTCCGAGCGGATTTGCATGGGAAAGCAGGGCAACGTTTTCTTGATCCTTAAACAATTTGGAGAAGGAACCCCTTCATGTTTCAAAAAGAAAAAGAAAACCAATAAAAAAAAAAGCAGAACTTTTCCCCTTGTGGTGTTTCCCCTTAAACCCAACCAAAAGGGGTTCCCCTTACTAAAGGACCCGCCCCTAAGGGGACACCTCGCAAACGCAGCCGAGAAGTCGCTAGGAGCATCTGCTGGGCAGCGGCGCCTGCCCAAACTGCCGCAGCCTGCGGGGCGGCGCCTGAGCCTCAGCTTGGCTCCGACGCGAAGTTGCGTCCGTTTGCTCAAAGGCGATTGGCTTATCTAAGTCCCCCGGTAGCGCCCCTTTTTAACCCTGGTTTTTGGGGATGCTAGCTTCATATTAGCTATTGCCAGTTGCTTCCATTGCTTTTGCTATTTACTTTTGATATTGCTATGGCGGATTTTTGCTCAAGAGAAGGTGATGAGCTTATTCTAAGTAGCAATAGCAATGGAATTAAATAGAAAAGGTGATGAGCTTCATCACCATTGCTATTGCTATTTACTTTAGCTATTGCTATTGCTAACAGTATTTGCCCAATAGCTCCTTCCATTAGCTTAATATTAGCTCTTGCTATCTACGTCCATTGCTATTGCTATTTGCTTTATTTTTTCTGTTGTTGGTTTTAAAGGGGATCGATTTCAATCTTGGACATATGTCCTCAATTTTGCTGGGCGAAAATGGAAATGGAAGTTATAACCTGCTTTGAACGAGTTGCCAACTCCACTTGTGGGACGCCAACTCCACTTCTTGGGGGGAGGGTGCTTGTGGAGCCGGGGGGGGGGAAGGGGGGAGTGGGTGCAAATCTGGCTTCCAACTTTTCTTGGGCGGGGTGGGACTGGGGGGGAAGCCTCTAAAGTCAACTAACAAGAACAGGGCTGATTCTTTGTTCCACGGGAATCTACTGGGGTCTGGGATGCTCGAAGCAACCGCAACTTAATTTTGTCCACCAGGCAACCAAGGAAGGGTAGGTATGGTTTGTCATTTGTCCAGACCCCGCAGTACACTGTGCTAAAAGGAAGTCACAAGGATATGATCCCAACCGGAAAATGGTGCGGCCGCTTGATTCTTCAAATACCTTTTCCCAGGTGTTCATTATGAATGAGTTGCTTTACCAGCATGACCTGTAAATTCCATTGCGGGTTTGCTTCGCCGATGGTTGAAAAGGATGAACACCCCAAAACGGTACCCTGCTTGGATGTACAACACACTTGGCTAGTAACTTCCAATAGTGGTTACAACTGTGGAGTAACTGGGAGTAGAAGGATGACTGTGTTCACAAACACTCCCATCAACAGCTTTGTCGTCAGTCTATAAAAGTCAGGTTGTATGTGTGTTGTTTATTTTTGCCTATCCATATACCTTTTGGGTTTGCTATGCCCCTTTGGTATTGAGATTCCACATCTCTTGTGCATTTGCCTTCCTCTTATCCAGAGATGTTCGCCGCTCTTCCTCGCCGCCATGGGCCCACAATAGCAATCTTGAACATGACATGTAGAAGGCTGATGTGCTTTCTTGATGATGTTTTGTTTTTGCTGCGGTTGCATTGCTCCTTTTATGCAACACCTTTCGGTTGAAGTGGAGTTTTCCGTATATGATGGCTATGATGTTAAATGGTGGGGATACCCGCGAGGATGGCTGCTTGAATATCGATTTCGAACATGGTATTTTGTTGATGTCCACCAAAGGGCCCGTGTCCGAACAAGATTCGGGCCCAAATCAGCCAGTTGGAAAAGACAAGAAGGACATCATACAGCGTTGACAATGCCTGATACCGTTCCCTATTTAGCGGTTTACAGCTAGCGTATCTTCAGTGTATTGGAGCAGTGGCCGGGACATTTTGCTTACACAAGTATTTGTGGCACAAGTACCAAATCGCAAGCCACTTGCGGGGACCCATAGTTTTGGCCATACAGTATGAGAGAGAATGTACACAGCCGCATGATTGGAATATCGTTACATGCATATCTGGCTGAACGTACTCATGAGGCAAACATAAACACTTAGAACCACTTGGAAGAGTCTCTAATTGCTCTCAGCCATAAAACGTGAGAGCCTCTTTCCTTTGTAAGATGATTTCCGCGCCCCACCTCCCAACCAAGCCCCGCGGAAACATGTGTAGTGTATATTAGTATATATATATACACACATATGTATATATATATATACACATATATATATATACATATAGTTCGTCTTGTACACCCCAGTATTCCAGAGACCATTTTAGCGACTTGTACATGACTTCAAGAGAATACTTATACACCTCAACACACACCACCTCAACACACACCTCTTAAGGGAAACCCAGGAAGATTCCTAATAAGCCGAAAATCTGCTTTGCTTGCACCATACATCGTGCTAGTTGGCAGTTCTTTAGGGTGCCCCCTAAGGATGTTTTTTTGCGTATAGATTCCGTATAGATCTGCGCCCAGGTCACTTTTGGTTTCACCAACTTGGCTCGTCTGTTTTTGGAGTTGGCAACCCGCATTGTTGTAGCTTTGAGCGAACCAAGAAAAGAAAGGAAGAAAAAACAACAAGAACCATTTTGGGGGTCCAATTCCCAAGAGAAGGCGCTCACTGACCTGAACTCAGGGATTTATAAGGCACCTTCAGGGCTTGTTTGCTTGGAGATTCACTCAAACAGGCCTGAAGCAAATCAACTTGATCTGAACTTCTGGGTTTCCCCTTTTTTGGAACCATGAGTTGCGGCCTTTTGGTGAGCACCTGGATCGCAAGAAACCCCCAAAACCGATCGCAACAGTGACTGAACAAAGCGATCGCAACTTGGCTAGGCACTTGAGTATTTCCGAGTCCGAACAGGGTTCAATTTTTTGGGAACAGCGCCTCAGGATCTGACCCTGGATGAGCAGAAAGGAAGGGCGAGGCGCGCATGAAATTCGTGGGATGCGCCGGTCGGAGGCTGAAAACCCGACCCTTGGGAGGTGACGATAAGCCCCCACGGCTGCCATGTTGTGTTGTTGTTTGCATGTGTATATATATATATAGCCATATATATATATAGCATATATATATATTAATATGCATTTGTTCCCCCTGTTAGTTTTAGAAGGGTATTTTTCTTTCAGGGGACGACAACGCAACCGGAAGATTGGCTTGGACCTTTAGGAGGTAAGGTTAAGCCCGCAGGTCTTGGCTGCTGTTGGCGTGTGCCTTGGGGGAAGTGTTTCCCTCAGCAAGCAAGTTGAAGCATGAAATCGCCGCAAAGCAAGGAGTAATGAAGAGGTCAAGGGCAACGCAAGCCCTAAGACTTCTTGGTGCTTCTTTCGTTTTTTTTCTTCTGATGAAGCAGAGCTCCCCAAAATTGGCTCTTATCTAGTTTAGGGTATTTTTCAGGGTCCTCCTCATTCATATCCGAGTACTTCAGCGATGGAGAGCTGGAACGCGAGCGGCGGTGCTAGGAGCAGGCGTTGGAAGCACCCCAGAAGCGTCAGGCAGCATCAGGTGCATGGAGAGGAGCTGATCTTGCTGCCCAACTGCTCTTGTTTGTACATACTGTGGATGGTTGCGAAGTCCATTTCGCACCACCTAAGAAGCCCTGGAATGGTCTGATTCCCTGTAAGTACCAACAAACCTTCTGGTTTCAACCATGGTTTCACTTCGTGGTGCGATTTCTGGATTTTGCAACCGTCCACAGTAGTGTCTTATCCATCTAGCCGGCCTAAATCCAGGCCTGAAAGCTTGCTCGCTCGATGCAGAGGCTGTCCAACGCGTGAGACATGCCTTGTTTACGGTCCCCCAGTAGTGCCCTTCTCTCCCCTTTTTGAGGGGAGATTCGGTTCCCCTACTAAAATAGACAAAACGGAAAGCAAGAACAAAAATGGTACCAACTTATTCTAGCCACTACCCCGAGTATTTATTCTACTGGAGGACCTCGTTGTTGGCGGTCTTGGGATTCTTGAACCATAGATCCGTTTCACCGTCAGCCCTGTGAAGCTGGATTCATCTCTGTTCCTGAGACCTGTACACTCCCCCTTGAAGGTCCGATGTTTGTATGTTTTGGTAGATGTGTGGATGGTTTGAGAACTTAGGAAAAGAGCATTTTGCGGCACTGTGAGAACGGCAGACCTTGGTTTTGATCACAAGCAGGTGACTAGTTCTAGCGAGCTCACTTACATCAGTAAGATGAGCTCGCACATGTTTAATGTTCAGGTGAATCATAGTAAAAACTCTAAGGCTCCGATCGATGGAATTTCTCACTTGCTGAGTCCATGGACTTTAGTCACTTTTTGGGCTTGGCCCGCTTTGGTGGTAGATAAGCAACAGTTTGGCTACTTGTTTGCCAAAGAAGTTGAACAAGAATGGGGGCAACAATTGCCACGAAGCAAAGATTTTAGGCCTGCCCCAAGGCCTTAGAGATGTGTCTCGGCTGGTTCTTTATTAGGAATCGGAGCAAATGGCAACGGCTTTCTTTTGGTTTCCCTTTGAAGCCAAAAAGGGGGACCCGCAAAAAAACACACCACTTAGGGATGCTTCCCCCTTGGGGGCAAAGATGATCTTTGGTTTTCCCCAAGACTCTCCCAAAAGGAATGCGCCTCAAAGAACAAGACCCACATGTGCGTCAACTGTACCGGGCCGGAGTTAAACCCACTGGGCGAGTGTCCGAGTGCCTTTGATGTATGGTCCAGGGTTGTGGGATCAAGGGGTTTATCCCCACTTCTGTGATACAAGTTGGAATTTCCCCTTTCTAAGTGGGGTAGTCTTTGGGGGATCTTTTTCTATCACAGATTCGTGGATTCCATTTCAACCACAGCCCTGGCGTCCTGTCAGTGCGAGAATTGTCACGTGGATGGCATCCACCTCTGAAATCGGCAGCCCATAGGAATTCATCCATCCCAACTGGTGCGAATCGGATTTGGTCCATCCGCAGTGTTCCAGGGATTGGCTGTAGAGGAAGGATACTTGGGTGCTCGATTTGCCAAGTTAGTAAGTGGTAAGTAACATGGGCTGTAACCTACTAAGTCCCTGCCTGGTAGTAAGTAGGTTAGAATGCAGGTTACTAACCACTTACTAACCTGGCGAATCGAACACACAAGTAGATAACAGCTGAAAGATGAGAAGTCTTCCGCCGTTTCCACACCTTTTGCCGCAATGCACTCCTCGAATGTTCAGGCCTTGAGGGGACCCCCGAAGTGGATTCGGAGTTCCTTTTCGTTTCCCGGGGGAAAACCAGCAAACGAAGAGTACCCGACCAAAAACAGAGACATGAAGATTGCCAGCATGGTTGCAAGGGAGCTAAGCTCTTGTGATCTCACTTTAGATTATTCTAGGGCTTGATTATTTTCAACCATCGTTCTTTTCAAACACCAGCTGTTTCCAACCTGGGTTTTGGATGGTGTCCTGAATAGATTCGCATCCCTGGCAAGAACGGAAATGGAAGCTTCCCCTAGAATTATAACCTTTCCCGGGAACCAAACGAAGAGTACCCTCAAAAACAGACACAAGAAGATTACCATGGCTGCAAGGGAGCTAAGCCCTGATTGTGATCTGACTTTAGATTGTAACCTTTGCAAGGGTTGCCCCTAGTAGAATTATAACCTACTCCCTAGAATTACAACCCCTATTCTCACTCCCCTAGAATTATACCCTAGAATGGGTTGCAGGGGAACCAAATCCTAGTTGTAACCTACTTACTTCCATTTGCTTGAGAATATTTTTTATTTTCCCTCGTTGGTTTTGAAAGGAAGCTATCACTCCTGGAAACTGTTTTTTTTTCCAGGGGGCTCAACCAAATGGAAGCTTACAGATCGAAGCTCCAAGTCTCTGGGAGCTTTTTTCGGCCAGGCTGGTCCTCAGCTGCTGTGGCCATGCGCTGGAGTGAGAAAATGTGTGCTAAGAGGCGAGTAGCGTTGCTCTTGGTGGTTTATCAGCCATCCCCGGTATTGTTCCAGCCATCCTTTTAGAGTTTGTTTTTAGTTTGTCAATTTTTCAGAGCGACGTTATAGGATATATCATATTATATATATAGACATCTCTCTCTCTCGGCCATCAGACGAGTGCATGCAAGCCGCACCTACATGTACAACATAAATCCCCCGCCCCGATCCGCACCCCAGCCCCCCGCCCAGAGCCCCGCCCAGAGCCCTGTCTGCAGACTCGGCTGGTCGACCTCACTTGGCTCGCAGCGACCCTGGGAGCTTTGCACCATATTCACTATGTAGACAAGTGTAGTTATATATCTAGGTTTTCTTCGTAGTGTCCTTTTACCCTCTTTTTGGGGGAGGGTTCCCCCTAAAATAGACTACAGCAAGAAGGGTACCCTTATTCTAACCTCTCTACTGGAGGACCTACTTATGAATCACTGGGAGACAGAGATACTTGGGCGTTTGGCCAAGTTAGCCAGTGGTAACCTGGGTTATGACCTGCTTCCAACCAGTCTAACTCCACTTGTGGGACTTTTGAGTAGGTTATGGCCCACGTTACTCACCACTTACTAGCTTGGCGAATCGAACGCCCAAGGCGTCTTTATTTTGGATTCCCTCTAAAATGTCTGGGGGTGTCCTCTGTTTAAAAATCACGGCCAACAAAATCATACAAACTCCAAACAAAGACACTCCTAGTCCATTACAACCAGGCCAACTCCACTTGTGGGTAGGTAACCCACGATACTAACCACTTCCCATCTTGACGAATCGAACACCCAAGTATGCTTTTACTTTAGGATTCCCTCTAAAATAGCTTGGGTTGTTCTCTTGTTTTCTTTTTTGATCAAGAACAATAAACACTCCCGGCCAACTCCACTTGTGGGTAGGCTCCAACCCACGTTACCACTGACTAACTTGGCGAATCGAACACAGCAAGTACAACTGTCCTTTTGGCTTCCCTTAACCAACAAATGGGTACAAAGCATCCATTTGCTTAAGAACATGTTGTATTTTCCCTCGCTGGTTTTAGGAATCTATCACTACTGGAAAAATATCATATTTTGATCCAGGGAGCTTAAGCAAATGGAAGAAAGTCCAAAGAAAGACGTTCTCCCACGTCTCAGCCTTGGCTCGCATTTCGGCTCAGCGAAAGCTTCGGCCTTGTCATGGAGCGCCGAGAGGACGATAGCGCCTTCCTCCGGCTGCTGGATGTGAGCCGCGGGGCTTTTTTTGGTCGGCCACTGCGGTCTGAAGCGGTTATTATATCTAGATGGTTTTGCTCTTTGCCTTATTTTTGTTCATCGCTTTCGGGTGAGCTATTTTGAGCTGCATCGTTTCTGTTTTCGGCGGGGGACCTGTGAAAATGGCGGTTTTCCTGTTGGTTTGCCTGGTGGGTTTTCCTATAAAACAAACAAAAAAGGGGGTAATTACCAACTCCAAACAAAGACACACCCACTTAGGGCTTCCAGGTACCAGCAAAGTCAAGCAACAAGGTTTGGAGTGTGACTTTAAGGTCATGACTAAGGGTATACCTGGAGTAGATGGGGTGAGTTTGATTTCTGACCTTTTTGATTCTCCTTTTTGGTCCAGGTTTGGTCATGACATGTTAGTTCCCTGGTTGTGGGTGAGTAAAAGGGGTGACGCGTGACCAAAATTGTGGGAATTGCGCCATCTTGGGTAACCTGGGGGCATGGTGGTGTTGCTTTGGGGTTCCCTTCGAAACACCACCAAAGAGGGCCACTCCGAAAAGGGACACCTGGAGTCTCCATGACACTTTAAAACTGGTTGGTCACTCCCCAAAATACAGGAGTGGATCCATTTTTAAAGGGTCATGGAGACTCCAGCCAGGGTCATTTCTTTGCTCAATGTCCTGGACAGCTTGGGAAGGATTCCAGCTTCACAATGAACTTCCCACACGTGGGGCATTGCGTGTGCGAACCAGAAGTTGAAACCTTGTGGGCTTGGACTTGGGCGTTTTCGGGGCCATAGAGTGAGGAGAACCCTCCGGCGCGGGACCAACTGAGAAGGTGCTACTTGAATGTGAAAAAGCGACGATATCATGAATAAAGCTAGGGTGAGGCTTACTTCCCGGATCATGGTAAGAATATGTTAGAAGTTAGAACCTACTTACTAGGTGGTTGAGCATCTAAGTACTTGCAATCACAACAACCTGACTTAGAGGATCTAGGCGGACAAATCCATCCCATCTTCTTTCCCTTGAATCGTTGTTTCTTTGTACACCAGGGTGAAAGTAGATGGCCCGATTTCCTTTATGGGTAAGTTTTGCGGGGACGAGTGACCTTCATGAAAGGTTCTGCCCATTCTCGAAGCTGTCCAAGGGGATGCCTTTTTGTGGATGGTTTCGGCCCTTTTGTGAGCCCCATTGAATGGTTGTTTCCTTGTACCATCTTTCCAAATTGGAAGTGGGTTGTTTACGGGGCTTTCCCAAAAGGAACGTAGTTTTCCAAAATCTCCTGACAGCTTGCATGGGTGTGTTTTTGAGGTTTTAAAGGAAAGCCAAAAAGAAAGCAACTGTTTTGCGGGTCTCCTTGAGAACAGACGCACCCCATGGTTTTTCGAGGGAAGGTACTACTTGGGTGTTCGGCCAAGTTTGGCCAGTTAGTAGGCTGTTGGTCACCTAGCTGACAACCTGGTATGTGGGGTTAAACTCAACTAACAAGTTGTTGGCTAGGGTTATAGGGACAGTCACAATGAAAACCCGGGTAAGTGAAGGTTAGTAAGGGACAGTCCCAGCCATAAATAGTTGCAGCCGCCTTCTCAATTCTTTACATGGTTCTGGGTTGACCATGTTAATACCAAGTTTTGATTGTCACTCAAGTGGGGTGACGCTTGTGACTGGGGGGGGTCTATAACCTTGCATTTGCTTAAGAATATGTTTTTCAATTTTCCCCCTTGTTGGTTTTAAAGGATATGTATATTTTCCCTTACGTCCAATACATCCCTTGTTGGTTTATCACTATTGGACATGTGTTTTCCTAACTTCCATTTGGTTAAGCATACTTTGTGTTTCCCCCCTGTTGGTTTTGAAGGGAATCTATCACTGCTGGAAATATCTTGGGTTTGATGTTAACCCCGGATTAACAAACCCCTGGTTGATTTTGATTGGGGGGTGTACCCTTGAAGGGAATCTATCACTACTGGAAACAATTTGTTTTTTCCAGGGGGCGAAAACACAAATGAATGACTGGGTGTTCGATTTCGCTAAGTTAGCCAGTGGGGATCGCCTGGTTTCCAGCTTTCAAGCGGGATAGCCCCCAAACGCAAATGGAGGTAACCTCCGTGGCCTTTGAACCTAAAGGGAATCTACCACTACTGAAAACATTTGTTTATATGTTTTGTTTTCCAGGGGGCGAAAAAGCAAATGGAGGCTAAGTGGGGTGAAGCTTGTGACTGGGGGGGGCTATAACCCTAAGTGGCCAGCGCCGCTTGGCCTAGGCTGCTGCCTGGGCGTTGTCCTGGCGAGGCGCCTGCAGCTGCCATGAGCTGATGGGTCGGATGCCCGGATGCGAGTTGCTTTTTTGGGTTGCTTTGGGGTCTTGGGTTTGGGTTTGGGTTGGTTTAGGTTTAGGCTTGGTTCAAGTTTTTGGGTTGGTGCAGGGTTTAGGGTTTATTCGGTGTTGGTTTAGGCGTGTCTTTCTTGGACTTTTTTTTGGGTGTCCCCTTAAAGCCAACAAACATGGGGTGCCCTCCAAGAAAAACATGACATGACTTTGGCTCAAAAACATGTAAGTACGATAAATGGTAGATCGGTATATGATAACAAAGACTAAAACCAGTGTAGCCGCTGTTTAACTTTGAGCTACACGCATATGTATTAAGGGCGCCCCTCCCAAATGGTTGGTGGTCATAAAAGTCCCGAGCTAAATGATGTTCACCAGAGACACCCATACGGGCTTTTCTTAGACTACTCGCTTAAACGGTTCCTTTTGTTTTCCTTGACCAACCAAAAGGGTTCCCTCTAAATCCTTTTTGAGAAACGCACACATATTTCTCGTGGATTGGGGGGGCATTTCATTGGTATGTGTCTTATCCATGCAAATTGGTGGCCGGTCTTATTTAAGGTTGGTCCCCCCCAAACTGGATTGTGATTCTTCTTGGGTTTCGTGCGAACACCACCAAAACAAGGATATCAACTTTGTGGAATGCCAAACTTGGCCTTTCGCAAAATATTTCCTTTTTGTGGGGTTGAGCATTGCTCTCTAGATGGGTTTTTGGGGGCGCAAAACTTGGTGGTGCTCAGTAAGGAATGAGGGAATGAACCTGGGGATTCCCTGAAAGGAAACCACAGGGGATGGTTTGTAGGGGTATGTAGGGGTCATTCCCTCATTCCCTGCCTATCGCACCAGCAAGAACAGTTTGCTCCAATCCAAAACCCCAAGTTTGACACGCGTGAGAAGCCAAGGGACACCATATAAAACCAGGAAGGCGATGTCGGGTGTCGGGGACGGGTGTCCACAAGTTGGAAGGAAGACCGAAAGGAGGGACCCCCTTTATGACGTTTTGTTTGACACCTCACCACAGATTTGCGGGAGACTGCAAGTACCACCCAGGAAGCCGACAAGTAGGAAGAGACCTATTCATTGCTCCTGTCTTACGCGTTCACAGGGTTCCTGAAAAAAGGAACTCGGATTTGAACTGAGTTCCGAATGCGAAATCCTTCGAGCTGGAGCCCTTAAGTCACAGAGGGCCACTTGGCAGAGTCCAAGTCCTGCCCAGTCCCCAACCCTCAAAAAGAAGAAAGGTGAATGGGGCTGAAGTGAACATGGACCAGACACTACATCTCTCATGTGGAATGCCAGGAACTGCCGAAAGAAGGGATATTTCAGGCGCTGAGACCACCTCTCTGGGAAAAAAGAGAGGCCCCGTAATCGCGGTTTTAACAGGGTTTCTACACTTTAGGCATTTCAGTGCTGCCCTTTGACCCTTTTTTTCGGGGA